CACACACACACACACACACACACACACACACACACACACACACACACACATACACACAATCAGTTCAATGTGTATGTCTTTCATTGTACTTTCCCTGTGTGTCTTTCTGCCTATTTCGCAAAGTACTTTCTGTGTGTCCAACCGAGCACCTCTAAGCAGTGCCAAATAGTCAGTCAGTCCTCGTTTGGAGAGTCTGCAGCACTATTAGTGGGGGCGCTCCGTTCAGGATGTCTGTGTTTCCTACGGGCAAATGACCGATGTTCATCGGATTGAGTGCCCAGCTCAACGGGTGGTGGAAACCAACAGGCTGTGGGGTTCACTTGTGGTGTGATTGGGTGATGTTCTGCTTTGCTTGGTATTGGATGTACGGACTGCCTTGTCTATGCTCCACTGCTGCCTTGCTGCCCATCGCGCTTGCTTTGATGCCTTGTGCTTCTATGTGCTGTTGCCTTGCTGCCCATCCACGTGCCTCGTCATCCATTCCACTTAACTTAGCTTGTGTGCCGTGTAGTTTGGCCGCTTTGCACCACTGCTTTTTGCTTCGCTGTCTTGTTGCTGCCCATCCACCTGGCAGTGCGCTGTTCTTATTTGCAGTTAGCTTTGGTGTTGTGCAGTCCAGTTGCCTGATACTTCGCCTAGTACTTCGCCTGATACTTCGCCTAGTACTTCGCCGAGCTTTCGCCTGATACTTCGCTGAGCTTTTGCCTGATACTTCGCTAGGTCGTTGCCTGGTGTTTGGCTGAGTCATTGCCTGCTGAGTCGTTGCCTGCTGCTGTGTTCCTTTTGATATGTTGCCTGCTGGCATCTGCTTTGAACAAGGGTCAAAGGGTTCATGACCCGAAGCATCAATATAGGTATTCCACAGAAAGTCTAGTTTCAGCCTCCGAGGAAACAATCTCTCATCAGCAGTTTTGTTTTTTTCAGGCTTTGATTTTACTGTCATTGTGTTTATCTCCGCTGGGCACTTGGAACTTTGTGCCTTTTCCCTCTTTGTCTGGTGTGCTGTTTGTTTGCACACCCACCTCCCCCATGCCCTCCAGCCTATGTGCCTTGCAGCCACTAGTTTTTTACTGGCTGCCTTTGCCTTACATCCGCTGACTTGCTGCTCTTTTTTTCCCTCGCTGCCTTTGCCTTGCAACTTTTTGCCTCGCTGCCTTTGCCTTGCATTCGCTGCTTTTTGCCTTTCCATCGCTGCCTTGTGCCCTAGCCTGGTGCCCTCAGCCTCTAGTCCTTTTGTTTCGCTGTTGATGTAGCCTCGCTTAGCGTTGAGATGTAGCCTTTCCATCGTTTTTAGCTTTCTTATGTTTGAGATGTAGCCTCGTTTTGGCCTATAGTGGACGATTTCTTTTTCTTGCTTGGTATGCTTTTTTTTTTTTGTTGTTGTTTTCCATAGCACGTCTCCGTACAACTCGCCCCGCTTAGCGTTGCGGGGGTTAAGTCATCCATCAAACACACACACAGAAAAATGCTTTTGGTTACTATCCAGTACAATCCACTTGAGCTATTATTTAAATAACTTTATTACTCAATCACTTACCGCTACCAACCAAAATGTTCAGGAACGCTTGACCCGTTTTCCAGCAGATACTGCTCCCCACCACCCCACCCCGGGAGTGCTAGTGGTGCCTGCTCTTATCAGCACCCCTAGCATCCCCTCGGGCTGTTAAAAAAAAAAAAAAAAAAATCAATTGCCGCTTCGGGTTTTGGTGGACATCCACACAAATAAACAGCAAGCGGGATTGACTTATAGACACCTCTTTGGACGAAACTTTTCATAAGAAGCAGAAGCAGACGGAGAAGAACAAGAAGAAGCAGAGGGAGAAAGAAGCAGAAGCAGAAGCAGAAGCAGAAGCAGAAGCAGAAGAAGAAGAAGAAGAAGAAGAAGAAGAAGAAGGGTGATGGTCCTGAGTGGTGGACACAGAGGTAGGACTGGGGGTACACCGGGGGGAATTCACAAGAGGAGGGTGGGTGGGGATCTCATTAGGGGTAAGACCAGAAAAAGAACCGAGAAAAGAGAAAATAAGGACCAGCGAGACGAGCGGGAGCAGAACAGAGATGAGCAAACCAGACCAGCTCCGGCCAAATTTCTCATTTATTGTGCATCCGAACTCCCAAACCTGTTTTTAGCCTGGACTTCTGTTTTTTAAAATAAGAATAAAACAATGGAATCCCCAATTATTCGCCTCGTTGACGCAGAATCTCGAAGCAGACTTGCAAAATTTAAGGCACCATCGGAACAGTCTTCTTATTCTCCTTGGAAATCTCAAAGCAGCCTTACGACGACGGAGCTGCAGAAGGTCGCGGGTTCGATCCCTTGTCATGCCACTTGTCGCAATGTCAGGAATCCCCAGGTTACATTTGTTGACAATACCCTGGAGAAGGACCATCCACTTGCGCCTGATAATTATTATTATTATTATTCACGACTGATTTATTACTGGCAAGCATGCCAGTGTACGAACGCGAAAACCTTAGCCTGGAGCAAAGCAACGTCAGACATTTATAGAAGAACGGCCCCTGGAGGCCAATGAGATAAGATACACCCTTAAGATGGCTGGCTCCTAACCGGAATAACAATGTTGAGGAAACACCCTAATTTCTCCAAATATAGCAGGAAAAACACATGGGCCTCTCAAAACCAGCGAGTTCCAATTCTAAGAAAGAATTAGGTGTTCCCGTCCATCATCCATGAACGACACCTGCTACACCATTGACGGCCAAAACATTTCTCCACCACCTCTCACTATCTGATGTGCGGCAAAACTTCTCTCTCTCTCTCTCTCTCTCTCTCTCTCTCTCTCTCTCTCTCTCTCTCTCTCTCTCTCTCTCTCTCTGAGTCTGTCTGTCTGTAGAAAAACGTACAAGCAACTCACTGGAAAGTTTGAATCTCGCAGGACAAAATTACTTTCCAGGCTCTCCAAGGAAAAACCAGCGAGTTCCAATTCTAAGAAAGAATTAGGTATTCCCGTCCATCATCCATGAACGACACCTGCTACAMCA